GCAGTGNGAAGGAAAGAGGAGACCAGCTGCACTGGCAGGCTGCGAAATGAGAAGCAGGTGATCGGTTTGTGTGATCGGCAACAAAAGACCGTGATCGGCGAAAACCGATCATACACTTTTTCACGGAAATCGGCCAATTATGATCGGTGGCTGATCGATCGGCACACCTCTATTAGCGATCTATCTTGTGGTTTCTGTCTAACACTGTAGCATTTTATGCTTACTTATAGTTTTAAATCAATCTCCATCTGGGTTTCTCTTTTTTCACTCCTGGCATTTATGTGACCATGATTGCGTCATTTAAGCAAATCTTTTTCTGTTCGAATGTCTCTACCAGTTTCTTTTGCTCCTGTCTCGGATGTGTGGCTTGGCTTTGCATTCCTCCATGTGTCACTTCTCTGGGTTTTGAGGCCTGCTGTTCTTAAAAAAAAAGTTTTTTTTTTTTTTGTTTTCAGTTTTGCAGTATATACCTATCACTTATTTGTTGCATTGCTTATTTCTGTTGGTTATCATCTGAGGTGGTATTTCTTGCCTTCAGGCAGAATTTATTATTTTCTACATGACAGTTATAAGGGTTTCTACCATACTGAGTTTGTCTAGTTCTACCAATTCTGTTTCAGTAGATCACTTCACACATTTCTTGAAATTTAGGTAAAAAGACATACATCTAGGTTATGTGATTGGTGGTGTAGGGGTCTGGCCAACACAGACATAAAGTTGGAATTGTTATTGTGTGGTTTAATGATAGATAAAAGAAACACTGACAGCAGGAGTCTCCGAGACTCAAGATCTACTTTTTTGTGCTTGTTTAAGATGCAAACCTTCTCCAACACACCTGAATTTGAACAAATGGTTTGTCATCAGGCCGCTGCCAAACTTGATGGCATGCTGAAGAGGTAGTTTATTTATTTTTGTTATTTTTATCAGTGTGTAGACTGTACTGAAAACAAAACATACCAACTATAGTGGTGTATGCAGAAGTAAAACTGATGAGCTAAAAATGTAAAAAGATGAAGAATGGAAGTCCCCTGAAGGGGGCTTTACTATTTTGGAGAACAAGCGGTTCTCCAAATTGATTTGCACTTCTGTCAGTTTGTGTCTCATTAAATTTTTCAAAAAGATACATAGTACTACACAACCTCAATTGAAGTGTTCGAATGCATCAAGTGCAAAGAAATACATGTACTTTTTGCTATTTGCCCATATGCTGCTATTAACAGTACATGAGGTATCGGAAACCATAGTTATTAAATCATAATAGCTTCTATTGCTCCTGGCGTACAGCTTGTCAATGACCACAGTGGTTAGCTGTTCAAAATTACCAATTTGAAACTGAAACATGGAGAATTTAAGTCGAGTCTAATATAAACTAGGTTTTGCATATTTTAAGATCCATGTTCTTGGTAAAGAAGGAACCTCAAATAGTTGTTGCTCTTTGTTCTCTGCTTTGTCTGCTTCAGTTTATATTAGGAGTTATGGAAATAGACACAGCTGCTCTTCTCTTTTTCTGGTTAAGGGGAAAAATCAATGTGTTAGAACAATTCATCTGTTTAGTAGTTAATTAGTCACGGATATTTGCTGTCTGTGGATTACACAAATATCATAGTTTGATTATTTTATTCATAATAAAACTTTACTTTCCCCCTGCTATTAGCTGTTAAATAGAGGTCTTTTTCATGTTTTGCAGGTGGGGACAGTTTATACACCTATTTGTGTGTGGATTTATTTATCCTATCTTCTTGCTAGATGCTGAAGAAAATTTCTATTTAATGGATGATAAATTGTCTTATAATCAGTCGCATTATTTGCATGTTAGACAGACATAAAATTATTCATTACAGTAGCCAGGCAGCAGTAAGGCATTGTAAGTCAACATTGCTAATACGGTGAATTGTTAAACAGGTGAGTCCATAAAGAATTTGATTTTAAAAAAAAAAAAAAAAAAAAAACATTGCAAAGCTTTATAGTTTTGACTTAAACATAGGGAATTTAAAAAAAAAAAGTAGATTTTGTTTCATTTACAGGAAGGTTAGAGAGAGAGAGAGAGCATTTATGCTGTTCACAGTAGTGCAAAGGGAGGGGTTCAGTTAATCAAATTACTTAATGCAATTGACAGCTTGATTGCAAATAGAGTTAAAGAACAGAAAAGAGAGTGAAAGGTTGGGTGATGGGAGCAGAGAAGAGTGAAATAGGAGCGTCAGAGATAGTGGTCAAACAGGAAGGAAGATGGATTGTAGTCTTGGAGCAACATGAAAACCAACTCTCCTTTGTGCTTTTGAGGGCGGTGCTAGATTTTTGTCAGCTACACAAACCAAGACTCATTAACAAGCTCAAAGCCCGTCTCCGCTGAATTCAGACAGAAGATGTTGCCTGTCACCAGGCAGTAATGTGGCATGAATACCGGAGCGAGGAGGGTTAGGAGTGACACAGGTGGAAACTGTGGACGGGACAGTAAATGTCACTAATGGAACAAAGCAGCACGAAGAGAAACATCAAAGGAGTTACCGATGAACAGGTTTTGGCTCTATATTACTTGTCAAAGCATGTAAATTTATTCAACTTTGGAAGAAACAGAATGAGCTGAAAACTATGTCTTCCATGCACTTAAAAAAACAACACGTCAAAAGATTCATTTTTAGACTTGATTGTTTCTTTCTTACAGATTATTTGTCTCATACTATTAACAAATCTGAAAAAAAAACAAACATTTTTTTATACAAGCTACATTCTGTAGCTTTAAAGTATGAAACATGAGAAAATGAAATATAGGAACTAAGGCCCTATGAGTGCAAAATGAATCCATTCACTTATTCTCTTCAAATTATTCCTGACTGGAGCTGAAAATAACAGTTTGTGCTGCAGGTTAGTTTAATTTAAGTTTTAATGTACATATATATATATATATATATATATATATATATATATATATATATATATATATATATATATATATATATATATATATATATATATATATATACACACACACACACATATATATATATTTATAGAAATATATTTAATTTGTAGAAATGAATAGCTGTCTGATGCATCCTCCACTAATGAATTTCTTACATAAGTCTGACATGCGAGGAGAGAAGAAGTGAAATGTCTTTCGGTCTGAAAAGGGTTTGTGCTTCTTTCAACGATTCAGTATAATTAAACCACTCGGGAATAAAAAGCTCCAGCAGATTCATAATTTAGTCGGTGACAGAGGCGGAGGTGGGGTCAAGATTACAGCACAGGCATCAGTTATCTCCTCTTGAGGAGAAATGAAAATATTTCATTGTTCAGGGCAGCCGTGTTACGCTAGCTGTCAATGAATGAACTTAGGAGTGGGCGTACAAACACTGACACAGGCCAAAAGACAAACCACAGGAGTTTTTTTCCTGGCTGAGATCAGACACGCAAGAAAAAAAAGCAGAGCTCGTGGCAGAACGTGCTGAGATGGCCTGCCAAACTCGTAGCGTGGGCACAAGTGGGCTGCAAGGAGTCTGACATTTTTGTGCTTAAAGGAGAAAGGAAGCAATAAATGTATTCTTACTACTGCGGTCCTTGCAGACTTACTTGTAACCTTTGTGGCTTTATTTAAAAAAAAAATAAATAAATAAAACACTGGCAAAAACAATCATTCTGGTCGTAACCTTGGATGACGGCAGAATCTGTTTCTGCAAAGGGCTTAAACACATTTTTACCAACAGGCTCTCATCGTCGTCTGTTGTCTGTTTCCGTCCCAGGCGGATGCAACCACCAGCTTCCTGCGTGCGGCTCGATCAGGGAACCTGGACAAGGCCCTGGATCACATTAAGAACGGGATAGACATCAACATCGCTAATCAAGTAAGATGTCCTGTGCTGACTGACTCACACTTCTGCAAAACAATATGAGTATGTGTGTCGGTGAGAGTAAGACTTCATTAAACATTACAATGGATTACATGTCAAAGTAGATTAGAAGATTTCATTAGTTTTCAGAGGGTTAAAAAAAAACTTGAAACTTTGACTTAATGTATTTATATGGCTAATATACATCTAGTATTGTGTATTAAATTAGAATATTCTTTTGAATATCACCAAAATATTTGTTTTCTTTTCACCTTTATGTGCACTTTGACATTTCTACTTCTTTATAACAGAACATTATTCATCATTACTAGCTGAGACTGTAGTTAAATGAAAAAAATGCTTTCCACCTATAAATGGAAAAGTTAAAAACACTGTTAAAGCAGAGCGTGTTAAAGCCTGCTATTCCTGCTATGGCAGGAGTGGTTTATTTCTGCAGTTATTAATGTTTTAAGTTTCCACCGCAGCAGAGGAGACGTGTTCACAGTGTCTGTGTTTTTACCCACAGAGACAAGTTAAGAGTTTTTCCTCGTTGCTCTCGTCTATTTGGACTTGTAATTTCTGTAGGAAAAAGGCTTTTTCTGTGTCAGATCAGCTGGTTTATCTTCACATTCATTTTTGAGTATTGTAGATACCTTTTGGCAACCATACAGAAAACTGTCCCTTTACATTCAATCCACCCATGGTGGCTAATTTGTTGTAAAGATTTGACCTCCAATGTTATATTTGCCTAATTTGGTTGTGTTTTGATTTTTAGCTTTTTCCTCATTTGTCTTCTCTTGTTGTTCATCTTATTTGATGGCCGGTCCAGTTGTGATTTACAACACTTTGTCTCTGGTTGTTGATTTATGTTGCTATGCTGTCTGCCTGTGCATCCCATTTGATTTGTATTCTGTGTGTTGTAAAGCGTTTTTAGCTCCTCACCTGCTTCAACCATAGGTTTCTGATTTCATTTTGACTCCTATAATCATTTCTGGATTTCAATAAGGCTCTGCAGTCCTTATTATTTACTACCGGTAAAACAGTTTCATTTTTGACAAATATCAGGAATGATTACTGAAAGCAGGATGAATCATTTCTAAGAGATGTTATGAACCCAGAGTAGGTTATGTTATTTAATATAATGTTTCAGAAAGAAAAACTGACAATGTAAGTAGCAAAACAATAACATAAAAATATTAATAACAAAACGGAGTATTTTTAACACTAGGATGAAACGATTCATGAATGTTTTCATCAATGAATGTTTGAAGTAACTTGTCGTAAAGTAGTTGTCTTTATACAGCTTTATACACCACATTTAACGCTACATTCATGCAGAAAATATCTAATCTTTTCTCAGAAAACCACCATCTGTAAAGTACCATATTTAATATGTTACTTTAATTGGCTAAAATATAATGTTTATGATGTATCTTCAATAGTTCCCAGGAAGAAGATGTTACTTTAGTTTGGACACTGCCACTGCAGTAAACTGAACCTCTGTATTTAGCTTAAGATTTAGAAAAACTGCTCGTCATATAATTCTTATGCATAAAAAAGGTCTAGATGTATTTAAGATGCATGCTTTAAAGTAGAGGTGTGACTTTAGAAACGTCAGACAATAAATCTAAGTGGAACGCTCGCATGGAGAATCAGCAAATTGAGTCAAATCAGAGGCTATGAAGACAATTAAAGATTCATGCTCTCCAGATCATTTTTATTCTCTGTCTTTGTCTAACATGCATTAATAATTGAGATATTAAATTATAGTTTCATAAATGTTTCGTTTTACCTCCTGTTCTTCTGCCCCAAGTTGCTGAATCAATGTCATGAAGCAATGAAGTTTGACCACACACACAGGGAAATTCCTGGTCTTCCAAACGGTTGTTATTCACAGGACTGAAGTCTTATTGAACACCCGACTTTATCTGCCAGTGTTGTACTGTAGAGACTCCAGATTAAAAAGTGCAGATAGTGCATGTCTGTCATGTCGGCCTGAATGCAAAATGAAGTCTTCAGCATCTTCTTCAGAGCATCAGACAAATACAATGATGTCACATAATTCTGCATCAGAAGCCAAACATGGGATTGCAAAACCACAAATGCGGAAAGCAAAAACAAGCCTCCTGTTGGTCTTAAATTTTATTTGAGCCATAATCTGACACGTTTTTTTTGTTTCATTTGTTCAGAATCAAAAACGCTAGCATCCACAATGACACTTTGTGTTAGTTGTTCTTTCACATCTCCATGACTGTGTAATCAGAAACATAATCTGAAAAAATAAATTCACATTTTCACCACCTGGAAAGAAAGTTTGTATACATTATCAACGACCTTAACCCGATATAAAACCTGCATTGAACCTCAAAATCAGCTAAATTACTCTGATAACCACGCTCACACAAGACGTTCCCCAAAACACTGACATTTCCCTGTATTTTGTATTCCTTTTGTTTCTTTCCTGCTTTTTACTCCACGTTGAGACAAGGGCAGGTGTGGTATTTTTATTTGTGATTTATTGGGCTCTGGGTCCTTGCTATAGTCGCAAACCTGAGGGCTATTTTTAGGATTCTCCTTTTCTCTTTTTGTCTTCATGTTCTTGCCATCACCTGAATTTGTTCAGACATCTAATTACCTTTAATTGTTACACAATAAGTTTTCTGACTGTCACTAAATACATGCACATATTTTAGAAAATTAAGATGTCTACAATATAAACTACACACAACTATAATAAAAGAATGTTAATCAGGTCTTGCAGCTGTGGAGGAAAGAGTTTCACATAGCAGGATGTAATAAATACGATCTGGTCTGTAGGTTCTAGAACAAATTATATCTTACTTGATCAAAAACACACCATTGATTCCACACTATTACTCCTGCGTTAAGGACAAAGCCAAAATGCAAAGAACTAAGTATACAACATAAAACAATAACTTTGGCAGCCATAATCTGAAATAACTTTTCTTTTTTCTCTACATTGCATAATTAACAACGCTCCAGTCTAGTTAACAACTAACCTTTTGTAACATCCCCAAAAGAAACATTGAAATAGAAGTGATAGTTGTTTTTCTTATGCTTTTCCAATCTTTCTTTCTTTATTATTTCTTAAATTAACCAGGAAAGATAATATGAAAAATATAATTTACAAGGATGATCTGGACAAAACACTGAGACATTTTTTTTGTCTTCAGCTGATTAATAATGCCAGTGTGTTTTGGTACATTTCAGTTTAAGTTTAAACGATTCTATCACATCCTGATATGTGTCTCTTGGGTTTACATTTTGCTGACGCATAATTACATTTCATATTTAGCAAAACTTAAAGTAGCAATATGCTGAAGTACTCTCTCTTCAACAAAGAATTTGATGTATGCGAGGCGATTTTAGCTGCAGCAGCTGAAGCATTTATCGTCTATCTGTCTCCAACATTGTTATGGAAAATGTTTTGCCCATTTTTCCTTAAAACATTTCCCTATTGGGTTTTGCAGAAACCAATTTTTCAACAACTCTCTTTAGGTTTTGCCGCTGTTTTTTAACCACCGATACATTTTTCATTCCGTTGCAGACGAGTGTTTGCATTTTGTATCTTCTAACTTATAAATCAGTTTAGACGTGTGGCAGACGGCCTCACATTTAACTCCCAGAGTCTGCGGTGTGAAGACGGGATAAGAGAGTGTGTAACTGAGACTGATGCGCAGCTTTCTCCCCATTATTGTGTGCAGACTTTACACAGGGTGCTGCACATTTGAAGTGAGTGACACTGCAGTACGATGAAAAGGCTGAGAACAGAACGGATCACAGTGACCCCTTGTGGAGAGATTGATTACAGCAGGCTAGCTGCAGCTGAAAACATCAATAATTCAAATTATTGTAATAGGAAGATAAAAGAAGTCTAGCCATGAGCTATGTGTAAAACAGCTGATAGTAAAATGATAATCACTAGAATTGAGTAACTTATTGTTTTAATTTACTGATATGAGTTGACGTAGGACTTTTAATTATTTCTCCTCTTGTACATTCGTCTCTCTTTTCTCCTAAGAATGGTCTTAATGGGTTACACCTGGCCTCTAAAGAGGGCCATGTCAAAATGGTTTTGGAGCTGCTGCACGCTGGCATTGAACTGGAAGCAACCACCAAGGTAATCTGCCCACTTATCACATTAAAAACTTTAGCTTTTGCTCTAGGTCACAGACACTGGATGTGACACCAGAATTGACCTGTATGAATGCAGATTATTTATTCCATTGTTTTGTTTTTTTTTTATATTTCAAAAGAGAGATGAAAAAACATCACCAGTGTCAGTGATGTATTTCTATGTAATCTGTGACTTTTTTTTATTTTATCTTATTTTATTTTTGTCAGATGGATTCAGGGAAATTGTCCACTTTTCACCTTTATACTGTTGCTCGAGTGGCGGTATTTAGTACCTCCACAGAGATCTGAGTAACCTTGATACCTAAAATGTAAATTTAATTACACTGGACCTGTTTCTGGAGCTTGTATTTCAGTGTTAAGTGTGGAGATCTAGGTCATTAGGCTGCCATAATTGTCTTCTCACTCTCTTTAATTTCCTTTTTCTGACCTTCCGTGTTTTTTTTCCTGCGTGTGTGTGACCTCCAGAAAGGGAACACGGCTCTCCATATCGCAGCTCTGGCAGGGCAGGAGAAAGTGGTGGCTGAGCTCATCAACTACGGTGCCAACGTTAATGCTCAGTCACATGTGAGTCTCTCAAAGCTGTTACTCAGTTAAAGCTGGATGAGCGAGTGTGCAGACATTTGTCTCGTGTTTCTCGTCTAACTGGGACAAAACTGAAGAACTGAAAGTGAAATCCTGTTTGCATACTTATGCAGGGTCCTCTACATTTAGGTTTACGGGTTGTAATGAAAATGTGTCTCTGAGAATGTCGCTCAGACATTCCCGAGAAACAAATTGACACAGAAATCCATTTGCTTGTGTTTCATACATGATGTTTTGATGCCCAAACAGAAAGGCTTCAGTCCGCTCTACATGGCTGCACAGGAGAATCATTTAGAGGTGGTCAAGTTTCTGCTTGAGAACGGTGCAAATCAGAGTCTCCCAACTGAGGTATGTGTGTATGAGGTTCTCACGGTATGAAAAGCTTGGACAAAAACACAGCAATTTCCATTTAAAAATATGAAGCAGAATGGAATAAAACGATCTAATATCTTATATTTAAACATAAAAACATAAAAGCAACATTTATTCTTATCGATGTTTAAATTATGAAAGTAATGGTTATGTTTATGTTAACTGTAGCGTTACAGACCAATTCAGTACAATTAGCATACTATTTAAAAGTTATTTTATTGCAACTTTCCATTTCTCTGTATAGAAAAACTCCAGTGCCTCTGGTTTTTGTTTGGCATCTTAATAAAAATGGACGTATGGGGACAGAATATTAAAAATGTTAAGTGTATGGAACGTTGAAATGGGCCAGTCATTTTTTTAAATTTATTTATTTTCTTTATTGTGGTTGAAGTCAAAGATGAAAGCTGGAGTGTTTTGCAAAGTTTTAAAAATAAACTCTTATTAGAAACTGATGCAACATTGAATCCAAATATATTGGAATCAAGCAAAAGTGGTAAATGTTTTCTTTTGTAATAAATTATCAAATTTTTCTGAACTGTTGCATTTCAATTAAAAAAAATAATGCCAAACTCTTATGAAGATCATCAATCAGCAAATAAGGTTCAGGGAATGATAATCCCTTTTTTTTTTTTTTTTTTTTTTTGGTGTTTTTTTGTCACATTAGATATGCGACAAAAACAAAGTTGAAATGTGATTAAAATAGATCATCTCCCTTTTCCAGAAACGATAATGGATTCTCCTGGATAAAGTTCAATTCATTTTGACTTATTAATACGGTTCCAGCACACAACAAAACTTCAGCCTATAATAAACAGGTCCAACTTAAAGTATGTAGATATCAATCCAGTCCAAAGTCAGCTTTGATCAGTACAATTTATATAGAAACAATCTAGGCAGTTCAGTTAAATTTAAATTGTAAGTGATATTAAATTCAACATTTAAAAGCAGTTGGTAAAAAGAAAAAAAGAAAACTTAGTCCATCTCATTAATCACTGTATCAATTTCTTCATCCAAAGCAAACATTTAGCAACTGTGGAGTAGAATTTCATATTTAAATTCAAAAAATACTTTATTGATCCAAAATGGAAAATTAAATCATGATAATATTTTACAGGAAACAAAAACAAAGAGAGTACATAAAGTTAATCATAGCCACACCTCATTCAGTGACTCTTTTACATTCACTTGAAAAGAGAGATAAAATCATCACCAATACCTGGCCAAGAGTAAATTTATTTTATAACAATGTTATGAACACATTACAAGTTCATTTTGGCAAACAGCTCATCTGAAAGCTTAAATATCTTGCTGTAATGATAATAATGCAACAGGTTACAGAAGGAAAAATACAAATAGCAGTGTTGTATTGTACTGGCATATGCTCATAAATAATTATTATACATTATATTTGTGTTATTTTAAAGCTTCTCGTTTTTCTCTCCTTACTTCTTCCCCTGCATCGTCTGTGCCGTCCCTCAGGATGGCTTCACGCCCCTCGCGGTGGCCCTCCAGCAGGGCCATGAAAACGTCGTGGCGCTGCTCATCAACTACGGCACGAAGGGGAAGGTCCGCCTTCCAGCGCTCCACATAGCTGCCCGAAACGACGACACTCGCACTGCCGCTGTCCTCCTGCAAAACGACCCCAACCCCGATGTACTTAGCAAGGTATGCGCTCCTTCACATTGGGTTTGCTGTGTAAAGAAAATAGCAAATGAATTAAAACGAGGTGGAGAAATAAAATCACAGTGCAGGAGTTTTTAAGTAAGTCTTGGTGGTTATGTTGCAAGTGTGGATTATGATTTAAAATGCAAATAAATGTGTGAAATGTGGTTCATCTCTCACTAACCGTCATGCTCTCGCTTCCTTTTCTCTGCAGACTGGTTTCACCCCGCTACATATCGCCGCTCACTATGAAAACATGAGTGTAGCGCAGCTGCTGCTGAACAGAGGAGCAAATGTAAACTTCACCCCCAAGGTCAGTTTTCCTCAGCCTTGATGCATTAAACATTAGATCAAGATGCTGCAGGGTCTTTGCATGAGCCAGGTACAACAAAATAACAGCGTCTCAGCAGACATTCACATATAATAACCATCTCTTACGCTCTACCGTAGATTCCAGAAAAATACAGATTCCCTTGAATCTGCCAAAAAAAAAAAAGGGGAAATAATTACTCTTATTATTATATTTGTGATCATTGTTTTGTGATTATTCTCATTGTCACTAATGGTAAAAACGTTCTATGTACGCAATACCATTAATCATATGCAGTTTACGTGTCAAGGACCTGTAACATGTCAGTAACGCCGACACAAATCAGTCAGAGTCACTATTTATACCTTTAGAAATATGGCGAGTATATTGAAATTTTCAAAGAATCACTATTGTTATGCAACACGTTGGCAACACGTAGTTATTTACTACAACTACTCAACCATGTAATGAAATGTGAGTAAGAGCTTCACGAACTTAACATAATTGATTTTTGAGAATCAACTGCAAGTGTCAAAGAAAACCAAGCAGGAAAACCACATGTTCAGGATCCAGATTCACATTAAAGTTTTGGGCATCATGGAACCCCATTGACTGGTTGGTAGAACTCCATTATGCGAGACTGAGCCGGACCTCTGGATGATCGAGTGGTATTGGATGGTTCTAAAATCTTCTGAAGTGGCGTAATGGCTGCTGGGAAGGTTCCCTGGAAAGTGACTTAATATTGTCAGTTCTAAGTAAGGTGGAGGATCTACAATGCCGGACGTCTGTTTCTTTTCCAAAAGCCCTGAAAACCTTATGTGTGATCATGACATTAGGGATTCCTTGAAAACTCAAGAGATTTTACATCAAAGTGTGTAAAAAAGCTGAAAAAAGTAATTATTGAGTATTTTAACATGATGATGATCCTAAACAGAGATATACAAAAGTTTGGACACAACTGCTTATTCAGTTCAATGGGAAGTTGCATCCAAACTTTTGTCTGGTATTGTAAAAAAAAAAAAAAACAAGAACTTAAATTTATCTCAAAGACCTTTTCAACATTTTCTGTTTTTCTTGTTGTGACCTATAACATGCAGCAGCTTGTGTAACTCATGTGTTCTCCAGAATGGAATCACACCTCTTCATATAGCCTCCAGGAGGGGCAACATGATGATGGTCAGATTACTGCTGGACAGAGGAGCTCAGATCGATGCCAAAACAAAGGTAAGCATTTCAGCTCCAGTCTAATTACGTTTTCATGGGAGCTTGTCGATGCACAAAACCATCCCATTGCTTGCTGATTATGTGTTCTGGTGAATTTTCATGCTAAATGACACTGTTATTTAACTGTTTTTCATATTTGCATTTGACTTCATTTATCCCTTCGCAGGACGAGCTGACTCCTCTTCATTGTGCAGCCCGGAACGGTCATGTTCGCGTTATTGAAATCCTCCTGGAACACGGTGCTCCCATCCAGGCTAAAACTAAGGTACCATTATTGCCACTTTCTCTTTTCTCTGTCAGCTGATGATCAACACAAATAAAAACTTAAAGTGGCAAAGCGACCACACAGCAAATGAATGAAACTTTGGTTAGAAATATGCCTCTTTGTCCTAAACCAAAGACCAGCTGCCTTTGATCTTTTGCTAGCTGCAGCGTACTATGAAGTCTCCCTGTCCCATTACTTTCAAAGCAATGATGGTGAATGTGAAGTAGACCAGAGAAAATGCTTCAAAATTTAAGTGCTTCTGTTGTCAAATGTTATTTCTGAGTCTTGTTTATGCTCTTAAATCCTGTGGCTGACAAACTGCACTTCATCACTGCTTCACTTCTTCAGTGCACAAAGCCGGCATGCTCTCTTACAAATCAGCTGGTGTGGGGCTGTGACTACTACTCTCATTGAGTTAGGGGCATAATAGAGGAGGGTTGACCTCGGCCTTCCTCACCAGATTGGTCTTTCACATTGAACACAATGAAATAGCAAAAAGGGGCCATTATCCCACATTGAAGTGTATTTTTGAAAGGGACTAATAACTCTATTCAGCGAATACTAGGACTTTTCTTCAGCTGATTTTCAGAATAAATTTTCCACCATTAAGAAAAGCTACATTCAGACCAATGTTATGTTCCAAATTTACCCTTTTCTCCTTATATTTCTTTATTTCTTCTGTAGAACGGTTTGTCCCCAATTCACATGGCAGCTCAGGGGGATCACATGGACTGCGTCAGGCAGCTACTGCAATACAATGCTGAGATTGACGACATCACACTGGACCATCTGACCCCGCTTCATGTAGCAGCCCACTGCGGTCACCATCGCATGGCCAAAGTCCTTCTGGACAAGGGAGCCAAAGCTAATGCTCGTGCTCTGGTGAGTTTCTGTTTTGTTTTGGGTGAAGCATTCGTACTTAACCCAGCCATACTACATTGAGTAGTCTGAAAGTGATCATTCCTTAAAAGTTTTTTTTTTGCTCCTGTTGCATTAGGTTGTTTTTATAAAACAGAACTTGCTTCAAAGGTTCAAAATGAGTCCTGAACTTTTTTTTTTTTTCTCCTGTGCCCTCAGAATGGCTTCACACCTCTTCATATTGCTTGCAAGAAGAACCACATGAGGTCAATGGACCTGCTGCTAAAGCACTCTGCTTCCTTGGAAGCTGTCACGGAGGTGAGATGATGGGCCCAAATGTCATGTCAAAGTTTTCAAATAGAAAACAACACCTGGCAGTTTTGTTCCGCAACTTTGAAATGGAACTTCATTCAAACATGTAATCATAATCCTACTCAAATAATGTTAAAAGTACTACATTAAAAAAAAACAAAAAAACAAAGAAACATTAATTTAATGTTGTTTTCGTTGTGAGAAAGGATGGCATTAGATGGGATGCCTTACAAACAGTTTTTTGTTGCTTTTTATGCATGCATTTTCATTTAGGAGCGAGCACACGCTGCCTCAGACCTTCGTTTTTGATTGGTTGGGAAATTCATTCAAGAACTGACACCGTCTATTTAAATTTTTCAAAGTTTTACAAAAGGTCTCCGCTACCTGAATGCACAAAAAATAAAAGAAAAACCAAGAATGCTTCTGGTTGTAATGCTTCCTATTTAAATCACGGTGATTTTTGTTCTGTCTCTTTCTGTTCTTGCGTACAGTCGGGTCTCACTCCTCTTCATGTAGCAGCATTCATGGGCCATCTAAACATAGTAAAGAACCTGCTCCAAAGAGGGGCTTCACCTAATGCTTCCAATGTGGTAAGAACCATTGATATGCTGAACCCAAGCAGGCTATTTTCATCAGTCAGTGATTCTTATCTTTATCGCATGTTTAATACTATCCAGAAACTTTATGTAAAAGATAAAAGTATTGTATTTACTTTTAAATATCATGTATGAACTTCATAGATGGGTGTACCTTTGGTGTGATTTTTTTTGTTTGTTACAGGAGTATGAGTGGACTGCCATAATCCTTTAAAAAAAAAAAGAGAGAAATTATTTATTTGATTTAAAAGGGGGACTGTGGTACAAAAATAATTAGGTTTTGTGTTACATCCAGTTTCATCACCCAGTACAACGCTGTCACAACCTGGCTCATTGGCTCTTACAAAAATGTGAAAGAATGGTTTCCAGTGATTCATTTTAGAGAAAATAGCAACAAATAATATGATGTATGAAGTCACTGAAATGGGTCATGTTGATATAAGTGAGTGAACGTGCTCGATGTGAAGTGAGTGAGTGATAAATTACAGAAACCGTAACGCGACCAAAATACAAAGTAAACAAATTTGGGCCTTGGGGATGTGCATGGCAAAGAGAGGGAAGAGAAAAGCCTCCACCCCAACATCCGGTCCTCCTTCCCTCTACGCAGCATCCAGGCACATACATGGGACAAAGGTCTCATAAAGTCTGTTGCAGCCAACAGGTCCATTCCTCCAAACAACCAGGTCTGTCACAGGACTGAGTGAGGATTTACATCAGCTGCAAATTTCATCTCAAGAAAATAGGCTTACGAAATTATTTTTTTAGTTGATATTGGATTTCCTTTATTTCAACATAAGTTTAACTAAAAGTTTATTTGGGAAACAAGCTCCAGATAATATTGTTTGAAATGATTACAATCACACAATTAGCCTATTTTTTATTTATTTATTTTATATATTGAGCTTATAGAACCATTATCACTAAAAAAAATTGTGCTTGTTTATTGAAGATAATGAGATCACCAAATAATCGGCACAACAAAACAAAGTCAAGGTTTTTGCCATACCAAAAAAATGAAATTACAAAATTGTTATCAAGTTCAAAATCTCAGTATCTTGACATAATGAGAAAACTAGTCATCTAAAGACTAGAAACATCAGAATTTTGAAATTGGCTGAATTGTGAGAACATTGGGTTCTCTGCATTATCCAATCAGTATCTGATTTTAGCCATGGTTTTTCACTGATCAGCAGAAACAACCGTCTCTACTGTTTAATAGATGAAATATTTCATCAGTTGAGTATTTAAGCCGTTCGATTAAGTGTCTCTTTGTACTGCATCAGAAAGTGGAGACCCCCCTCCATATGGCATCCAGAGCAGGACACTGTGAAGTGGCTCAGTTCCTGCTACAGAATGCAGCGCAAGTGGATGCAAAAGCAAAGGTATCATCATCATTTGTACTCTTATTATTAAGAGAAGCACATTTTCTTTCTCATTAGTGGCTCCTTTAGGCATTCACAAAGACTTGCATTGAGTTCAAGTTCTGAATATTAAGTGATTAATCTTATCATTTAATTTGCTGTGTAAAACAATTTCAGCGCTGTTGTTATCCCCCTGCAGGATGACCAGACACCCCTACACTGTGCGGCTCGTATGGGCCACAAGGAATTGGTCAAGCTGCTCCTAGAGCACAAGGCTAACCCTGACTCAGCGACGACTGCAGGTCACACGCCCTTACACATCGCTGCACGTGAAGGACACGTCCACACCATACGGATATTATTAGACGCAGGAGCCCAACAAGTGAAGATGACAAAGGTGGGGTGGATTATGAAACCCCGGTGTCACATTTTTGCATCGTCAACGTGAAAATGTATCTGTCAACCATTTTTCGTGTGTTTCGTTTTTTCCCCGTCTCTGGAGCAGAAAGGTTTCACTCCTCTCCATGTAGCTTCTAAATATGGAAAAGTGGATGTAGCGGAGCTTCTTCTGGACAGAGGCGCCAATCCAAATGCAGCAGGGAAAGTGAGTCATCGCTTAACTCCTGTTACCTCGATAGTCAAACCTTAGTGAGGAAATGTTGCTTTATCAGCTTTTTACCATAGTACGTGTCCCATACATACGCACATGTTTCTGTGTCATATTTGTGTATGGTTTATATATGTTTACATGTGTATGTGTGTGTGGTTGACAGAACGGTCTGACACCCCTTCATGTGGCCGTGCATCACAACAACCTGGATGTTGTTAAACTCCTGGTCAGCAAGGGAGGATCTGCACACAGCACTGCCCGAGTAAGATGCTCACCGATGAGTGTGCACATGCTCACACAGCCTATGGAGAAACTCTTGAACCTGTCCTTGTACTTGCTAGAGCTCTTTTGCAGAAGCATTCAAGTATTTACTGTGAGGTGCACTCGGACAGGCGTTCCAAAGACCAATGTCCATGCCGGTGTGTGTGTGTGCCTTTGTCTATTTCTCCAGAACGGTTACACTCCTCTGCACATAGCTGCCAAGCAGAACCAGGTGGAGGTGGCCAGTGTTCTGCTTCAGAACGGAGCGTCCCCAAATGCAGAGTCCCTCCAAGGCATCACGCCCTTGCACCTGGCTTCACAGGAGGGGCGGCCCGACATGGTGGCTCTGCTCATCTCCAAACAGGCAAATGTAAACCTCGGAAACAAGGTAGGCTAAAATGGAACTAAATGTTTATCTCTTGAATTTGAATATACAAAAGTTGCTAAAGGAGGCAAGCTAAACTGAACTTGGCTGGTTCTTTTTTGCCGTTGCTTCTCAGAATGGACTGACTCCTCTGCATCTCGTAGCTCAGGAGGGTCACGTGGGCATCGCAGACACTTTGGTCAAACAGGGCGCATCTGTTTATGCTACTTCACGGGTAATTCACACCACCGGACAAGGGCATGGGTTGACAAGATTCGTTGGATCTGATAAAATACAGAGGCTGACATCAGAATCTCACAGTGGAATCATTGGCTCATTTAAACAGTATGCTGCTTCCTAGTTCTTTGCCTAATCCTCGTTTTTGACAGAGGTCAAAACTGAGTAAAAGGACTTGAGATGAAGGAAAGTCTATCAATCGGATGTATTGTTTTCATAAGTAGAGGTGCTAACCAAGATGATGTTAATCAAAGCAATGTTACAGAGGAGAAAATAAATAGAAATTAAAACAGTGTCGCAGTTTCCAAAAAACAATATTCCAACAAAGGCTGTGGGTGTTAACAGGTGGTTTTTGATTTGAACGCACTTCCGACTTAATTTGTTTGCAAAAATATATTCTTTATTTCTTGTAAAAAAAAAATAGCGACAAAATAATTACCAAAAATGTCCTACAACTTAGCCAAAAACCAAAGTAAACTTAATGTGACGTTTCAAGTACTGGAAAGTGGTCAAAAAATCATTTACAAAAAACCTCCCGTCTCCACACACCAAACATTTGCCAAACAACGCCTCCACCAAGCACCCGGTGTGTTTTTAATTACTCAAATTAATGGGAGGGTCTAACCAATTACCAACATAATCTAATCAATTCAAATATACAAATTCACTACAGATTTTGGATCTAAACTAACTTAAATAAATTCTAACTTCCCAAAATAAAAAAACTAAATTAGTAGAAATTACAATTTGCAAACTTTACATAAATGGCCATAACAAGTGTGTACCAGTTGTTTTTTTTTTTTTTTTTTTTTTAAGATTCTTCTTAAATGTAATATTTTAAATTAGATTTAAGCATGAAACTACTTGATTTAATTTGATAACCTACAGCAAGGCATCATCACCAGCAGACTAAACAAAAGGCATTTGATAAAATAAGGATTTTTCAGGCATGAGATTTAAACCATTTAAACCAACCAAGCCAGCACAAAGGCTTGGCTTGGGCTTGAAAAAGATGAACTGTAATTTCTGTAATGCAGAATGAGACATTTGAACGTAACTGATCGTCATCAGATGGCATCCTTTTTTTTTTTCATAGGCAGTGAAATGAACAATCATATTAACTATAGCAATGTTTTTTTAAGGAGTAAGTAAATGGTACAGCTAAGACATAGTCTGCACTTTTTTTTGGTGAAATTCAAAAGCTGTACAATCTTTATGGTTATTTTGTTATTTTTACATTGTGTCAAATAGCTAGGCAAACATGTAGGCTTTTGGAAATAGTAGGCAAAATGACAATAGCTAACAGAACTACAAACATATTTAAATAGTAAAGTATTCATGCCAATGTGGTCATTAGTTATCATGTTTTATAATTGAACTGCTCTTAATAAATACAGGTCTTTTTTGTGTGTCCTGTTTAGATAATGCATTTTTTTTGTTGCCATGTCTGAATCATTTTAGATTTGTTAATCATGTTGAATCAGACGATTAGAAACTATTCATAGAGTCTTTCTTATCTTCCCTCAGATGGGCTATACCCCCCTCCATGTGGCCTGTCACTATGGAAACATAAAGATGGTGAAGTTTCTTCTGCAGCAGCAGGCTCATGTGAATGCCAAAACAAGGGTAAAACTCTTCTGCTACTTTAAGAGCTAGAAACATTGCTCTTTGTCTTTATACTTTTGAATGAATGTACATTTGTTGTTTTTATTCCTGCAGATGGGCTACACCCCTCTGCATCAAGCAGCTCAACAGGGCCACACTGACATTGTGACTTTACTATTAAAACATGGAGCCATGCCTAATGAGATCACATCGGTAAGACGTTCAAATCTTTTTTTGTTTTATTTACTTGCACCTAACAGTTTTGAATTCTAAACTCTGCATAGAAATTAAATATGCTGATATTTTATTTGAAAAAAGAGAAAATTCCTGAAGTGTGTTTCTCTGCAGAATGGGACATCTCCTCTTGGCATCGCTAAGCGATTGGGTTACATTTCTGTCATCGATGTGCTAAAGCTGGTTACAGAGGAGTCTGTTTCCACTGTGAGTAACGCATCGCCCTCTGTGTACAATGATTTAAAAAGCAAGCTTCAAAATTAGGTTCACAGCAAAAATATATCTTTTTTTTTTTTTTTTATCAAATTCTTGGAAAAAGCTGAATTCAAAGTTTCCTTTCTCTACTCCCGCCATTCATCTTACTTTTAATCTCTGTTTGGTTTTTCACAGATGACCACAGAGAAGCATCGGATGAGCTTTCCTGAGACGGTAGATGAGATTTTGGATGTTTCTGAAGATGAAGGTAGGTTTTCTGTTAGAATTATGTTATTTCATGCAGTTTTCAGCATCTTTCTCAGTTATTGGCATCACAGCAAACGGATGTTATATCTAATCATCATTTAGACATGTTTTCTTTCAAGTTTTAAATTAATGGCACACTTACATCCCATGGAAACTGGAAGTCATTGACATTGTAATTGTAGTTCCTAATCACTACAGCTTTACAAAAACAGAAATTATTTCATTAAGTTTGAATCTTGCACTTTATCACATTTCTGTTTTGTTTGTTTTTTAAGATAATTTTATGATGCTTCAACTATGTGTACCTTTTAATTACTGTTTTGAATGCTGCGTGCCTCTGGGCCATATCTCACTCAAAAAGTAGATTTTATCTCAAGTTTTTGTAAAAATGCACATTTTTATATCAGAATTGTTGATATAATTCTGATAATTGATTGATAATTAATTATTGTTCAGTGTTATTGATAATTGTGGCTTCAGTGATTTTTTTTATAGTTAAAAAATGATTTTCTAAGGTAAGCTTTGTTTCTCCCTTAAATAAATATGTTTTTGCAGGGTGTGATTAATGTGTTTTTCACTCATCTTTGCCGAGTATGCCAATAATTGTGGAGGGTGCTGTTGCTTTTACCGTGTTTATTTCCAGCTTTTGCCTTATTTAGCTAGAAGAAAACTTCATGGGAAGTATAAAAAAATGCCAGTGTAGATATTTCTGTTTATATGCTTGCAGTTTATAACCTTTCCTTCTATTTGTTTTGTAGGAGTTTGCCAGCTAACTTTAGGTATGATTGTATCCATTTCTCTGCCTTGTCCGGTCCGGTGGCTAGTGAATGTGTGCCGTCATCGCAGTTACTTTCATTATCTCTGTGTGTCACTAATTGTCTTTCTAATTATTCTCTGTCTTTCAACTCCAGCACTGTTTTCTTGTCTTTACCTTCATCCTCTCTATTATATCTCTGTTCTTTTTTTCTATTCCAGCTTCTTCAGAAATTTATTGAAAAAATATTATTCCTGCTTCTCATCAGCATGTGTAAACGTCTCATTTTGCTTCCACCGGCGTCCGACGCGAATTTAAACGGGTTTATTACGGACAGTATTCCAATTCGTCAAAAATGGCTCTCTTCCAATATAATGTTGCTCTTCTTTTTTGCAACTTAGTTAATTGACCCATTAGCTAATTAAGCACATGCTGTGCAGCAGCTGAGACTCTCCTGAAAACAACACACAACCCCATTTGCTGTTTGATATGAGCACAGGCAGTTGCACATCAGCCTCGTTTTTCAATCCTCTTGGTCTTGTTTAGTGTTTTTGGCGTTTGCGGAACAGCCTGTCCTGGTGGATGTCTGTAAACATCTCTGTCTGTTTAAGTGCCTAATTTAGAAGTCATACATATTATTTCTGTTTAATAACCAAGTTGTTTTCTCCTACACAGAACCACGTTATTCCATCAGTAATCAGCATGCTCACAAAAAACCCGGCTGTCACCAGGTTGCCTTGCAGTCTCCCTCCCATGCCGTGTACTAAGCTGTCCTAATGATCACTGTCTTACCACTCTTCTTTTTTCCACTTCTGTAGTTTCCATTTGTTCTCAGTGTTGTTGGTTTGACTCCATTGCTTGGACTACAATGTTTACAGTTGCCTTGTAGCCATTGTTCTCTGTGGTTTTTCTAAGGCGAAGGGATGGGAAAGAGGTGTATTACCAACCATCTTAACCTTATGGATAAAATCAGCTGAAATTATTGACATTTAAGTGTTTATAGATAAGATTTTAAAATATACAACAAATAGATTAGATTGGCATGCATCTATATATATATTTTTTTTTCTTGCTATAGGAAATTTGTAGAACTTGGGAGATTAAATCAGCCACCATTTTGCATGGGCTACCTTGTTCTTTCTCCTAATCCTGTTCTCTTTACAACCAGTTTTTTTTTTTTTTTTTTTTACCTTTTGAGATTTTTGTTTTGTCTAACTTTTCAGCCTTCCTCTTCCTTTTTATTGTATCAACAGGAGATGAATTGCTCGGGCTGGATGGTGCACGCTATTTGAAACTTGATGACTTCAAAGACCAGGATGACGACTTTCTCTCCCCAAAGAAAACCCTGAGAGATTTTGAGGGTGGGACGGGAACCACGTAAGTCAGGTTTCTGAGGTTTAAACCACACATGCTGATTAAATTAGGCTAAAGTTATGCAGATGGTTAACTGTTTAAGGTCTTTCCTGTTTAGTGAATATATTGTTGATTTCTCTACATGTTGAATCAGATCTCTGGATTTGTTTTTGTCAAACAATATGTGGTATCGTTAACCGAAATTTCATCAAAAGTTTAGTTCAACCAAGTTTAAGACCTTGTAAGGATTACAAACTGGTCATTTATTTATGACTAGTTAGAAGTCAGATTCTGCTGGTTTTTCCATTATTGTCTGTCTATAAAACATTAGCATTGCTTGCACAGATAACATCATGCATTCCTGAGCAAGCATGCATATGGTTGTTCTTGATAATTAGATACAGAAAACGTAATTACCGTATTAATATTTTATTGCATAGCAATATGAAGTCGCTGTGTTCTGCCTTTGATTTTCCTGATTTCCTCCCTCACAGGCCATACTCCCCTGCTATTCCCAGGATTCCTTGTGTGTCCCCAGAGACAGTACAGCTCGACCAGGTAGCCTTCAGCCTCATTCACATTTAACAAGCTTATATTGTTCATTAAAATATTAATATAAAATAGTTTTTCTGGCTGTTTCTGTACTTTCCTTACATTTCTTACATTATGGAGCATTTTTAATCATTTTATTTTCTTCCTTTTTCCTTTTCTGTGTCTTAATCTTTACCATTCGTGGTTGTGTATGTTTTATTATTATTATTATTATTATTGTTCTCAGCACACGCCCATCCCTTTACCAAAAGAGTATGATGAGGATTCTCTTATCCCGAGTAGTCCAGCTACAGAGACCTCAGACAACGTCAGCCCTGTGGCCAGCCCCATTCACACAGGGTGAGCTAATCAGTTAATAATCCTTTAATTGCTTGCTTTAAAAGCTCCTATCAGTACTATTGCATTAAAACCACGTGTCACCCCACAATGCCCAGGTTCCTGGTGAGTTTCATGGTGGATGCACGTGGAGGCTCCATGCGAGGAAGCAGACACCACGGCTTGCGGGTGATCATCCCTCCCCGCACCTGCGCCGCACCGACTCGCATCACCTGCCGTCTTGTGAAACCCCAGAAACTGACGACGCCTCCTCCACTGGTGGAGGGAGAGGGCCTGGCTAGTCGCATCATCTCCCTGGGGCCCTCCAGCATGCAGTTTCTGGGGTGAGTCGAACTCGTATTAGGTCAGTTTGTGCTCAGCATAAAGTTCGCAATTTTAAGTATTTCTCAAGTATGAGGAGGTTAAATTAAGGAAAATAATGAGTACTTTCAAAACACATTTTTTCATGATAAATGTCCATCCATTCATCCATTGCTTTCCACTCTCTGGCTTGTGCAGGCTTCAAATTTAAAGGCAGACCACAGTAAAAAATATCTATCGCAAAGTCGGAACAATTTGGATAAAAAATGAAAATAAAAAATTCTGGATTTAAATTAAAATCTATAAAGTTTGAATATTTGACCTGAAAAATGTGCAGGAAAAGGTGTCAAATGAAGTTTTACACACAAATATGCATGTCCAACCAACGAATTTGTTGGGCAGAACATCCCTGCCCAACCCATTTGTTTCTTTATCAATTAATAAACATAATAAAACTTATATATATTTCTAACATCTGCATTAATTAAAACTTGTTAGTCTACAAAAGAAGTTTCAAGTTTTCATTGTTATTGTTTGTCTTGTTTTAAGTATCGTTTGTGTTTGAATGCACTAAGTCACACATAGCTTTATGTGTGACTTAGTGCGGTCACTTGCATGTGAACTTCACATACAAGTGAAGTCAAAACATTAATTTTGTCTTCTTTGTTGTACCTCTTAGTTGTTGGGATATATTAGATAACCAGTAACCACTTTGTCCTTGACATTAGAAGCAGGGAGAACAAGCATGAGGACTTCAGCCAGTTTGACGAGACGCATTTCTGCGGCTGTACGGCCGATTCAGAGAATCTCCATATTGACTTGTTGTTCTTGGCCTGCAGAACTCAGTATCTTACAAAAATGTCCCTGTGAATGAGCAGTGATGCTCAGAGAGGACTCATTAAGACAAGTGGAGTGTGAAGAGTAGCCCCCTTGTGGTTTGACCCATTATCTGCTAGGCGAGCTACTCTGGCTCAATTAAGGAATGATCACAAAAACAACAAACATCCTTATTTCAGTTTTCTCTTCATGTTCTCTCTCTCTGACCTCTACCAAAGAGTTCTATTTAGAGTTCTGCTAAGAACCCCCAGTGATCCCAGAATGCAATACAGAAGGACATCCATATCTATTCTCTATAAGAAGTTAATGCTCTAAACAAGTCCATGCTGGTTGCAATAAAAACATTCTAGAACAGACTGTGCTCCGCAGTTTGCAGCATTACTGCATTCTGGTCATAATGTTGTGCCTTATTGGTCTGTTACTCGGACTTTGGGCAGCGTTGTTGGTCCGTTCATTTTGGCTTGTTGTAATTCCTACTGTACCCTTGCGATGTCCTCAGTTGTCCTTGTTTCCAACTCTCACCACCCACATTCTTCACCTCTTTCCACTCACCTATCATCCCTGCAGATCCTCCTCTCCTCATGCTTGTCATGGGTCTGGTTGTGCTTTGTTTGCCTTTGCTTTACTGAGGCCTTTGTTCATTACAGAAGTATCTTGTATTATACAAGATACTTCTTGTCTTGTACAAGATACTTCTTGTATTATACAAGAAGTATAATACTTGTATAAGTATTATACTTTCCAGGAAATTCTTATACCAGTACAAAGATGTAATTGCCTCTAACTCACTGAAGACTCTTGATTCAAACTGAAAAGTTTATAAAGACGTTAAAGACTTTTAAAAGTGCTTTATACCTTCGCAGACCTGTCATAGTGGAAATCCCCCACTTTGCCTCATTGGCCCGTGGGGACCGGGAGCTTGTGGTCCTCCGAAGTGAAAACGGCTCCGTTTGGAAGGAGCATCGCAATCGCTATGGAGACGAAGTGCTGGAAACCATTTTGAATGGCATGGATGAAGGTGGGTTTCATTTGAACAGGTACTGTCTTCCACAGCAGCTTGCACGTTCTCAGGAAAGTCACTTGCCATCTTGAGATGCAGCCGTCAAAGGAAACTTTCTCAAGGCCGCTGTCTCAGCAAACTTTGAAAGTCAAGCTTCTCCTGATTTACGTTAAGCCAATAAAAATCCATCATTTTGCCTCCCTCTGACCTTTCTTCACTTTGCTGTAGACTTGGAGAGCCAAGAGGAGCTGGAGAAGAAGAGGATACGTCGAATCATCTCCACCGACTTTCCCCTCTACTTTGCTGTAGTCTCTCGCATTCAGCAGGAAAGTGATCTCATCGGCCCCGAAGGTGGCCGGCTCACCAGCAAGCTGGTGCCCCACGTGGAAGCCATCTTCCCTGAGACGGCCGTCACCAAGAGAGTGAGGCTGGGACTGCAGGTAAAGAGATAGGAAGACATTTCTGCAGCAATGCATAGAAAAAGTAACTGCTGGGATGTTTGATGTTTCACACTGTCTTGGAGAGAGAGAAACTCTGTGGTCTGTAGTGGCAAATTTACCCACTGGATTAATGTTGGCTTTCATTGATTTATGTTTTTGAACTGCTCTTTTTGGCAAATAAGGGAATATAGTATACTTTTAGTTTCTAGGACTCATGTTGATGTTGACACTGTGCTGCCCTCTTAAGAATATCTAAGTATCGTAAGTGACTTCTTTTCTCATCTGTAAATCGGTGTTTCAAGCACAACATTAAGAAATTTGCCAAACTCTTTAGTTAATACCCCTTTTGACAAATCTAACACAACACATGCACTAGAGTCTAAAAATAAAAAAAACTAATAACAACTGGTCACTCTATACCATAGTTATTCCTGGTTGCAGTGAACATGAAATAAGTGAGTGAGTGAGCAAGTGAACATTTCAAATAGCTTGTTTAAACTGCACTCCTGATTATGAAACCGTTTGATGAAACCAGTATTATTTAGTAGACTCCTGCTTGTAAAGTTGACACACATAAAGTCACCAGTCCAGCAAACCTTTTTTGTTGTACACAACATGGGCTTTCATTGTATTTTTTTTTCTTTGTTTTGGTTACATACCTTACTAACTTTTTTTTTCTTTTTGTCTTGACAAGTCAGTGTAAAATAAATTGCATGAGTCTGCATTTTTGCTTTGCCTGACATTGGTTTGTTTTATGTTTTGCTTTTATCCAGCTGTCGTTCGTCTCTCCTCAGTTGCCTGATTTAAGTTGTGAGCCTCACTGACTGAGCTGATGCACTGGTCTGAGTTGGGTCAGATGTGAAATATGACTTTGTTGCATGTGTGAGTATGGCTGTGAGTTTGTCGTTTCAGTTTTTTGCACATTTTGTTTTCTTCAGTTCACATTTTAGCATTAGTTCCACACTTATCCTTTGAAAGTTTATACGCTGTTTTTCTTTTTTCTTTTTTTTTTTTCTCAATGTTTTTTCTCTCTCCTGCGGTCATGGTTTTTTTTTTTCTGGGTTTTCTTAAGAATCGTTTGTCCCCCTGAATAAATTTCAGGCACAACCAATCCCTGATGAACTGCTAACTAGGCAGCTGGGAAACCAGGCAACCTTCAGCCCGGTGGTTACAATCGAACCCCGGCGGCGCAAGTTCCACCGTCCGATTGGTCTGCGCATTCCTTTACCTCCATCCTGGAGGGAAAGTTCACGTGATGCAGGGGAGGGAGACACCACCAGCTTGCGCCTTCTCTGCAGTGTCATAGGTACTGTTGAACAAAAAAAAAAAAGTCCAACTTCGAATTGCTGTGGACTGTAGGAAGCTGTGTCTTTGCCGATTAAACTCACTGTTTGTTTTTGTGACTTAGGTGGAACAGCTCCAGCTCAGTGGGAGGACATTACTGGAACCACCAAGCTGATGTACGCGAGTAGCTGTGCCAGTTTCACCACCAACGTGTCTGCAAGGTAAGCAACTCAGCACGAACTTTGTGAAAAGAAAAAAATCTATTACCACCCTTCTTTTTTTTCCCCCCATTTTGATGTGCAGACATTTAGTGTCTACTGGCTTGAATCATTTGTTCTTCTTTCCCATCCAGATTCTGGCTGGCAGACTGTCCACGTACAGCTGAGGCAGTGACCTTTGCCAACTTGCTGTACAAGGAGCTCATGGCAGTCCCTTATATGGCCAAATTTGTCATTTTTGCGAAGATGAACGAAGCTCGGGAAGGTCGATTGCGTTGCTACTGCATGACAGATGACAAGATGGACAAAACTCTGGAACTGCACGAAAACTTCTCAGAGGTGGCCCGAAGTCGAGACATCGAGGTAAGAACAAAGGAGAACAGTGATCACGCTGACAGGAAGAAAAAGTGGCAAAGAACTGACTTTTTTTTTATGTTCTCCCTTATTATTTAAATTTTAGTAATTTATTTAAAAGTGGATGGTCATAGCCTGCTTGTTTTCTAACATTGGGATGGTTTTCACAGCTTATGGAGGGCATGCCGCTGCACCTGGAGTGTTCTGGGAATTTAGTGCCCATCCGGAAGGCCACTCAGCAGCCTCGCAGCTTCAGCTTCCAGGCCTTCAGAGACAACAGGCTGCCTGTTTCTGTCAAGGTCTGTCTCTATGTGGCTGTTCACTTGCCTAACTTTCTACCGCTTGCCATTCATTCCATATGGGTTTTTGTTTTAATTTTATTAAGTTTTGGGGTTTAACACACCAAGGATCCTCTCTACAGATGATCAATATTCTTCCAATATTCCAGATTACTTATTAACAGACACCTGACAGTAACTATTTATAATGGTGTCAATATCATGAATAGTGCAATTGAAACAAAAAGACTATTGCCCACCTGAAAAAAGTTTCATAAAGCAACATACTTGGTTTTTAAATGAACGTCCTCCAGACACAATAATGGAGTGAAAACTGTCACTACAAAGAACAAGAACAAAACCAACTAAAAGAGAAACTTTTGTAAAATTGAACAAAAATGCTTTTTTATTTTTATTTAGAGTAATGGTTGGGAATGTTTTGCTTTCCCAGGACCTATAGCAAAACAAATGACAAAAGATGGACAAAATATCATCCCTGCAATGACACGTTCATGAAAAGTTATCCGAATTTTTGAATTTCTCTGAATTTTTAAAAGACTGCTACGATTTTTAGTTGTCGGCATAAACACCCAGCAATGTACAATGTAGTCTCCTTTTTATTACCCCCTTAAACCTTTACACTCCACTGACTTACTTTTTTTTACACCTTATTTTTCACCAGTCGACATCTCTATGCTGGAGAGGTTTAAAAATACCTGCGGTTTGGTTTTAACTCTTAATGTAGTATTTCAGACAAAACTGTATGTGCAGAGAAAAGAACAATAAATGCATGAATGATGTGTAAACTGATTCAGAAGAGTCGGCCCACAGGTTGATGGAGCTCCGAGATTAAATGTAGCTCACACTTGAGAGCAAAGTCTTTGAAAACTACATGGAACTCTGTGTATAAACCTTGTCTTGTCTGTCCTGTGACCATATTGACGTAATTTCATTGTGTTGTACGATGTTCTTTTCCCTAAATACATCCAATTATTTTTTTTTTTGTTTTCATCCATATCTGTCGGTGTGACTTATGGTACTATGTAGTATCACCTACCTAAATTCTTGTAGCCATGCAACAAACAACTTACCTATCTATCCCCCGACTCTCTTGGGTAATTGTTTGCATGCCCTGTGTCTCCCTCACTTTCTTTGCCTGCCTTCCAATCTTTGCGGCCTTGCCTGTCTGTACGTGTCTGTCTCACTGTCTCTCTTTCTTTCTCTCATGGTCACTCTGTAACTGTCTGATCTGACAGACGCCCAGGTAAAATGTGCAGGTAAATCTCTCTCTCTCTTGCCTGCCTGTGGACTGCTTCCATCCCTGTTTCCCCCTGCTTCTTGTCCAATGTTACTGCGCACCAGCCTCGAGGCTCTGTGGAGAGATCTAACGCCTCTTTCTGATCTGTTTGTCCTTTCCTCCCTTCTTTTTCTCTGCTTTCACTCTAATATTTTCCGATGTGCATCGTCTTGTGCACTCTTTCTTTCACATTCTTTTCTCTGATCTGTTTTCCACCTACGTCTATCTGTTTTTCTGCTCTTTTCCTTCTTTGTTCTGTCATCTGTATGTGCCAGGTGAGGGATAGTAACAAGGAAGCCACTGGGTTTCTGTCTTTTCTGAGGAAATGCACAAAGTACGAGGATTCGCAACACGTCTTGTGTAACCTTAATATAACTATGCCACCTTGTGTCAAGGTAAGAACTTGCCATGATACATGAACACGCCTTTAAACATGAGAGCTTAGAAAATGAATACAAATGAAGGTTGTGAGGCCAAATTCTTACTGGGTTAAAAATTAGTACACATCTCAAGTAGCACAGGATTAATAATGAAAAGTTATTTTTAGTTGTCTAAAAAAAATGTGACCAGTTAGAACATTCTGATAAATTTGCAGGAATTCACTTTTACTGTTGGACCTAGAGTTCTTTGAAAGTACGGAGACATGCATTTTTGAAGACTTTTACTTATAATTTGCTTTCCATATTGGCAAAATGCATTTTTGTTTATGTGGACCTGTATTTATATTACTTTGTAGCAAAGATAGGATGTTATTAAAATAAAGACATGTAATTTATTTCAAAGTTTTTGATGCATCTCTGATGCAAACCAATTTAAAGGCTGCTTTATTCCTCTTATAGAGTCAAATGTTTTTATTTTATTGTTGTCGTTTCCATGTTCTCCAATTAAGATGTTTTCCAGACAATCATTGTCTGCCATAAGAAACCATTATTTGGTCCCTATTTTAGGTTGCTGGGAGCGAGGAACGCAGGCGAACTTTGACCCCTCTGGCCCTGAGAGAGCGCTACAGTGCACTGAACGAGCCTGGTGTGGGTATGTTTTAATTGTCTGCACTTCAGCCCTCTCCTCATAGACACACACTGGAGATGGGCACAGAATGTTGCGCTGCCCTTTTGGCCAGACCCCCCGCTTCTCTAATCTGCCCCTACTCCACCCTCTCTGCCCCTATTTGTCTCATGTGCACGCATGGCACAAAGACTAAAGCCTTGGATGCAATGCACTGCTGTACAGTATGCCCCAGAGTTTGTGGCAGTGCAGTTTGATGAAAGCACACAGAATGTGAGGCCAAGAGACAAGCAGCCGTCTGGAACATGGCCTGCAGTGCAGTAGCTCCATGGCACCTGGAAAGTCTGACTTATTCTTTCCTGAGTGTCTTGGATGTTCGAACAACGACTTCTGTGATTGGTTAAGCATGGCGCTGGTGTCTCCACTGCGACATCCAATGGCATGGCAGCAGATACCATTAGCTTATGAGCACTGAGAATGAGCAGGACCTCCCAGTGGAGCTTAGACAGAGGAGCCCTTTATACTGGTTTTTGGTAAATGTGTAACGGTTTCTCTTAAAGTTAAAAAAGTGGTTTCCTGATGGAGGAGGAAGGAGAAAAGGTCTCTTCTGTCTATTAAGTACACAGCGCTGCTACATTGCACCTTGGTCCCTCTGTAATGGTTACGGAATGCTACTATGGGACTAACATTTCAATGAACCCCAAAGTCTTACATCTTATACCCACACTCAGTCCTAACCGTGACAATTACTTGGATAAAAACACTGTTGTGGTTAGTGCTTATTTGGCTGCACAGAGAAGAAAAGGTACGTATTATCATTAAATCTCAACAGAAACTTTTCTCAGTTTTAAGTCTTCTTAGTTCACACATGACGAACTGTAATCTTATAACTACTTTTATAGCTATACTCTACTTAACTTCATAAGGATAGATCAAATGTTAGGATGCTGGATGTCCTGGTCAGGATGTTTTAGCCCCTGATGCAGAGGAATTGAAAACGAGACATTTTTTTATACTACGTTCTTGAGAACCTTGACAAGAATTCACAAACCTTATTTAATAAGCGTTATGTGGACTACAATAGTATTCTGATTGCACAGCATTTTACTCACTCCCCAATGACATTATGAATGGTGAAGTTTATTCTTTCTGCGTTTCTTGATTGTGACAGATTTTTTTTTTGTTTAAACTTTAGTTTCTGTAGGTCAGACTCAAAATGAGGGAAAAACCTGATGTTAATTTGAACAGGAAAGTTTTAGCCTCAAAGAGATTGCCACAAATTCTCCTTAAACTGCCACCAAGTCAAGTTGGTGCATCTACTGCCTATTGATGCAGATACTACACATACAAAGGTTTATACTGCAAGCAATTTGCTAGTATTTTGAAGTTGAACTAATTCCCAATAATTTTACTAATATCCATTGTGTTATAATTAAAATTATTTGCAAATTAGATTAAAAACAAAAAAAAAAAACATTTTCTCCTTTATAAATGAAAAGAAAGCGAGGCAGTTATTGGTGGTTCAAACAACCACCTATATGGTTTGTGCATACATTTAAATTCATGCAGGTTGCTGAAGTGTTAGGCTAACAGTAACACGCTTAGTATCTCATTTAGTGACTTTAATAACTCAGCTCATGTTTTAGTGCTCTTCCAGTTACTCATGACATGAAATCTTAAGAAAACTGAAAGAAAATGTTTTAAATCCTCATAAACTCAGCACTTTGAGCCTCATAAAAACTTCTGGTACATATGATGACAACTAAGGACAGTGCACAGAGCAACATCTGGACGCTGCTAGACCAGGAGCTGCAGCAGCCAATATGGTCTCTCCCATCCACATTTGTGAGATCAACAAAATAATATTCACTGTCAGATATGTTCACAATATGAAGTTAGTTAAGTTAATATGAAGCTAGTTATGAATATAAATATAGGTGGAGATCTTTAAAAATCACCAGCACAAAACTTGACGACAAATCTTCTTAGGGAATCTAATACTAATGAATGTATTAAATCGCGATTTAGGATTAGGATGTCTTGGAATCAAGACATTCCTGATTACAATCATCTGAGTTCAGAAATCTGGTGTTTTTGACACTGTCTTTTCATGATGTTTTGCGGGTCCTAAACTGCTCCCATTTTCTCTTTAGCTTCAGTGAATGCCATGGAGAGAACCGAGATCAAAATCAACATCATATCTGATCAGCTGGGCTTAAGCTGGGCAGGTTAGTAACTTCAGATTTGTACAAGCTTGAAACAAATACAGCGAGTAAACACAAACTAGTGGTGGATCTGATTTGGTCTTGACTAAGAAAGAGTTCCCTTGTCAAAGTTGTTCAGGTCATCTTAAGTGAACTTACAGTTTACAGACCAGGAGATAACCTGTGGTATTTACTTCATTTGTAAGAGATCGTAGTGTCTTTTATTTACTGGTGCACATATCCAGTTTATTTTATCTGCTCTTTCTTTCAGAGTTGGCGCGAGAGCTTCAGTTTAGCGTTGACGACATCAACAGGATCCGTGTAGAAAATCCAAACTCCCTTTTGGACCAGAGCTCCGCCCTGCTCAACCTGTGGCTCAGCAGAGAGGGCAAAAGGGCCAAAAGTGAGTCCAACATTTAAAATTCTTATTAAACTGACTACAGATTTACTCTGTAGGGGATTAAATACAATGTTTAAAACTCTGGAAAGTTCTTTAGATTTCAAGCAACAGCACAAACGGATCTGTGTTAAAAGAAACTCAGAGAGAATTTGAAAGTGTAACTTTACAGACACTTCACTTCTCATTTTCTATCTCTTTTGTCATTTCCTCTCTTTGTCTTTCACTTTGGTGTGTGTGCTGCCCAGTGGAGAGCTTGTACACTGCTTTGAAGAACATTGACCGTGCAGATATCGTGTCTTCACTTGAGGGTCAGGCCCCACAACAGGGGCCCGGGTTGTCAGAAGAGGGGGCCTGTCGTCTGGCGGACAGAGACTCTACATTGTTGTCCCCCAGTGTCATTAATGGTAAGAAACACAAACACAATACAGCATGAATTCAAGAGAAACAATTGTATGTATTAGCAAAGTGTTACCTTTTATATATTTAAATCGCAATGGCTTATGCTTGCTCGTGATTATCTTAAAGATGATGATGAAGATTATCACAAAATCCCTTCTACTTGGATATATGAGTTTAAAGGAGAGAATGAAGGTTTCTTTATTGTTTTATATTTATTCTATATTTATTATGGTTTGAAACTACAATTTTTGAGAATATCCCAGTGTTAAAAATAATTTGGAAGCAAAAGTGATTAAAAAGAAAAGTAAGTAATTAAAAATGTGTCGCTCTAAGGAAACAGGCATTTAGCCAAAATAACTATTTTCAAACATCGACTTGCTATTTAATTGAAACGTTTGCCCTGTTTGAGCCCCAGAAAGTGCCCCTCCGTTCCCCTTCATCTGTGGAAAAATTGCCTGCTTCGTTAGAGTGTGGGTAACAGCCATTGTGCCTTGTTTCTGTTGCCCCACAAGAGATCACGGACACAAGGCCTTCACGCATAGTGCACAAGCCAAGAGTTATTAGACCCCCGTTTTTCAGAAGGGGTAAGTTGATCAGAAACTGGGGCTGCATGGTGGTTTGCTGCTCTTGATGATGATGATGATGAAGACGATGAGTCTCAGACGATGATTTTGAGGTCTGAGGAATGGTGTCGTTCTCCCACCATGAAAATGGCTTTTATCAGCATGCACTAACACCGCCTCTGTGCATTTCTCACCGGGGCACAAGTCATCCTCTTTTCTTTTTTCTTAAGTTACACTTTGTTGCACCTCATAATTTAGATATGAATTACAATGTTTCTACTCATCTAGGAAAACCATCATAGCTCCCTTTTATATTTTGGATTTTAAGGCGACACAGCCATAAAGGTATGAATCTGACGAGCGCAGTGTCTTGTGAACATATCCCTTGAAGTTTTTTCACATTTTTTCATCCTACATCCATATACTTCAGTGTATTTAATTGGGATCTTATGTGACAGACCAACTAGTGCATGACATTGAAGTAACGGAAAGTGATTAATTAATTCATCTTTTTACAAATAAAAGTCTGAAAATGTGACCTAGCTGCATTCATATTCAGGCCCCTTTTACTCTGGAATGTCTCCCAAAATTACCAAATTAAAGTGCAGGATTGCTAGAGAACATTAGTAAACAAAGAGCATGAAGAAGGGTAATGTTATGGAAATGTTTAAAACACGGCGAGGTTTTAAACAGTAGCCAAGGCTTTACATATTTCATGAAGGACTGCAGAGATCCATGGTTCAGGGGGGATAACCTGTTCACATGGCAACAACGGAAAAGTCTTTGTTAAACGAAAGCCTTAAAATTTAATTGCGGTTTTCTACCAGCCTTGTAGGGCGCAGACCGAGCATGAGAACATTTTGTTCCCCGAGCAAAACACTGCATGTGGCAAGAAAAAGGAAGGAAAAACAAAAAACAGTACTGGAGATCAGCCCATTATCACCATCAACGTATCAAACAGAGACTGGGAACGTGGTCTCAGGTGACTGGAAGATGATGTAGCTAAATTCATCCAGTCCTGAGAGAAAACCTGCTAGGGGCTGCAAGAGACATGATATTGGAGTGGAGGTAGCTTGAAATAAAGCATTTTTATATTCAGGTGTCCTAATGGTCTAAGGAAAGTTCAGGCACAACAGCAGGAGAGAATTTCTGGCAAGACTTGAAATTTTTAATACACGAATACTTCCAAACCAATCCGATGGAAGTCTTTTGCTTAAAAAAAAAAAAAAAAGAATAAAGCTGGTGGTGGCATACCATAGATGATGAGTCCAAGGTATAGACTGATAAATACAGATTCTCATCACTCTTTTCAGATTTTTGTTTTAAAAAATGTTATTCCTCTTTATTATTATGCACTCTGTTTTGCCGGTCTGTCACATAAGAACCAGATCAGACATTCTGAAGTGTTTGGATTGTGATTTGAAAAACAAATAAAAACTAGGGTATATGTACCATCTCAATGCACTGTGCAAAAAATTCCTTCCATTTACTATGGACGTCTGGATTACATGTGGGACTGGTTGCGTATGTGTGCACATAAGTATGCGTGTGTGCATACATATCTTCGTGTGTATGTCTGGGATGGATAAAAGAGTCAAAACTGAACAAAATGAAAATGTGCTCTGGGCCTTCATTCCTTGTTTCTGTCTTCCCCTCCTCCTATCTCGCTCTTGCTTTCTTTTTTTAACCTGAGAAAAAGACAACATTCCACACATCCCACCACAGATGGTGTTGGAATTGTCTCTCTTCCTCGGGATTCTGTCCAACCTCTTCCTCTTTCTCTGAACCTGTGACACAACATACCAGCTGCCCAGCTGCCCTGCTCCTTCCTCTTCCTTCTCCTCCTCCTCCCTTCTCCTCTTCTTCCTCCTCACAGCTCTACCTGTCTGACCTCTGACCTCATAAGAACCTCATTTTGACCTCTGGGCCTCCTCTTCTCTTGTCATCTTATTTCCCCCCGTGCTCCTCCCTCGTTCAGTCGAGTGGGGACCCTCTCCTCCTCTTTAAATCCACAGCTCAGTGTGTGTACTACTGTTTGTGCACGTGCATGCTGCATGCCTTGCTGTTACCGTACCGGAGTGTGAGTTTGCGTAGACGTTAAAAAAAGTGAGCTTTTTGTTTCAGACTAGCTTTTAAAAGATACGTTTGTTTAGATCCAGTCACTTAGGTTTGAGTCTTATTCGCACAGCAGATGAATATTGAAAATTTGCTGGATTAACTGAGTGAGGTTATTATTTCCAAAGCGTTTTTTACGTACTGGTCAAGAAGTCAGAAGTTTACATGCACACATCAAAGGCATGAGCGTCATATTAATTTTTGGGTTTTACTCATCCTTTCAATCCCTTTTCATAAAGTTTGACTGATGAGGTAAAACACAACTTCAGCCACTCCTCAAAACAAGAACTAGTTGTACAAGTTGGAAGTTGTTGGTTATTGTTTGTTATCCACACAGGATTTTTCAAACTGGCTCAAATCAGTTCAGTTCAAGTCAGATAGTTGCATACATTGTATATAAAGATGCTTTTTTTTTACTGACTTTTTTCCTCACAAGCCTTGATGATGATGGCTTTATAAGCTACTTACACTTTTGTTCACAACATTTGAGTTAAACAGAGGCATACCTGTGGGTGGACTTTAAGGCAGCATGTCAAACACTACTTCCTTGTGTGACATCATATTAAAAAAAATTAATTAAAATCAATCAAGAATTCAAAATTAGTACTTTTTGCACAATTTCAAGATGTTCTAAAGGTACCACATTTATTGACTTAACTTAAGTTGTAAGTACATCACCCGGTTGTATTTGTTCTTATGCAGATGCAACAGGGTGAGGCCACACATCATAACCAGTTTTGAAAATCACATTGCAGGTTTACATTGAGCTCTAAATAGAACACATCTATGTCAATATTAGTAAAATGTTTGTATATATTTGGGCCTGTATTTCTAATTTTGAACCCGTTTGGAGTATAGAGAAAATTGACCAAACAACAACAACAAAAAATCAAATTCTTGGATCTTGCGTCTGTTATGTTTCCAGTCCAGCACCAATAAAGAGGGGTTTAAGGAAACGGCTAAAGCTCAAAGATAATATATTATGAATGCTGATGATGAGTGTGTGTACATTTCTGATAAATACTGTATGTGAGTGAGGGAGGATTTTGTACTGATGAACTGTGGTGTCTGCAGTTTGCCGTTTATGTTCTTGACATCAAACTGTGCATGGCATGCCTTCAGTGTCTGAATTAATCTTTGCTGTGTATAACGTTCTCTCTGTTCAGTGGGTGTATTCTAATCTTGTTTTATGCTAAATTAACTCAAAAAGTGTTTCCTTTTCTTTTACTGTGAAACAAATGGTGTCATTTTAACAATATGCTGTTAACACATTGACTTCTGCATCGCACATAATGTTCAGAGAACAATGCTGCTGCAAACATGAAGTCTTTCTTTCATGGGCAAACTCATTAATCATACAGTTGTCTTTAAGATTTTAAGAGGTCGGTGTTACCGAGGAGGGTTTGTTTACACTTTTTACTGCTCTTAACACAAAAATTTGCCCAAGTCTGAAGGACTCTCAGCATTGTTGAAACATTATCTGCTGGCAGGGATACTGGTGTGAGGGTGTGTGTGTGTTTGTGTATGGTTTGGATGTTCAGGATTTATTACCCTACATTTTAACCTCACCTGTGACCCAAAAAAATCTACTTCATTCATCATATATAAAGGAATACGAGTGTAGTTTTGTGTGTCTGCGTTTTTATTTGACCGTTGTTAAAACACTTAGTGTATTGAGAAGAGTGTTGTGAAGTGTGCCGTCCTTTTTTCCGTTTTATTTCAGGGCTTTTTTTTAGTCTCAGTAGAGCTAGTCTGTGCTTCACCATGTGTTGTGCCTTGGACACTTGTGTGTGTGTTTCTTTTAAACAACAGGAATAAAAGGAAGGACTAACCCTGACTCAACTAAACTCATTCAAGCTGCCATTCTAAGTCATTCCTTCCTGTCCACCCTCATTCTGATGCCACCTCTGACCATCCTGGCCCTGTTCCATCCCAGAGACACACACTGTAGTTCATAAGTCAATAAATTCTGGGAATAAAACAAACGCATCATAAAGAAGTACTTCACTCGTATACGGAGCTATATGAATTGATTGGTGCCGCTTAAAAGCCTTAAAATACCTTGAAATCCTTCTTTTAATGCAGTAGGTTTGCGTCACACTGAAAAATGTAGACAAAATTGATCTTTGCTTTGCATGCATTCATTCAGCAGGAGGAAAATCCCATGAAAAATAATTGCTTTTAACAAAATCAGTAGTGTCACAATTGTTGGTTCATCGACTCTTAATTCTCTTTACAAACTCACAACAGGTTTTGGCTGTAGGATACCACTTGGTCTTCGTCTAGATTTGTGACCATTCCTGGGTCGTCTTGTTTTCAGAAAGAGCTTTTAGAGGTGGAACTGAGATGTCCTTGGTCAAAAAGTTGATTTTTGTGTCTGCTGAATTATTCATGTGTAGATTTGACCCATATGTTTTGCATCATTATCCATCACTTTTTAAACAGTCCAGGTAACACACTCTGTTATGTTTATCTGTGTGAAGGCGGAACATAATCCACATAATCAATTGATTCTAATGTTTTTATTGAACATCAGAGAAATGCTCTGGTCAGCTTTAGAAACTAAAGGATAACTTAAAAATATTCTACAATTACACGTATATCTCCAATGAATTCGTACCAGTCATTAGGATGGCAGTGTCATTACGAGAAACGCATATTTTTTCCCCAACGGAATAAGTGCACTGAAGTTCTTGCTTCTGTGCTCAGTGTGACATTAAGCTCCTGTAATAAAAGCTGAATTTGCGTGAAGGCTTTTTGCACACCTGTACTACGGGTACCAAAAAGTGCCGAGGTTATATAATAGATTGTCTCTCTAATAACATGTGTCAGCTGTTCTAAACATTTAATGAAGCTGTAAGGCTTCAAGGTGCTTCTTGCCAAAATGTTCACATCTCCATTACTGGGCCATAATGGGTGCTGCTTTATACATTAAAAGTAAGACCAAATAAATTCTGAGCTGCAGATCTGCTGAATGACGCATTAAGCACCGAAAACATGTTATTTATGCTCAAACTTGATGGCATGTTGGTAAAAAAAAAAAGTCAAGTTTGGGAACCTTTTCCACATCTACATCCATTAGTATTTAACTGTGTACTGTGTATGCCTTTATTGGGATTTAGTTTTTTCAGTTAATGACTGACAAAATCATGTAAAACATGTTTTCTGAATCCATTTTCATTCCTTTAGCTTGACAGTCAATAGATTTTGCTATTAAAATTAATTAACATTTTGAAAATTAAGATTGAACTAAATGTAGTTTAAGGCTTTTAGTGAGGCCAGGTATGAGGGACAACATTTAATTTGCGTTCATTATTCAAAGTTAAGCTGAACCCTTGCATTAAAACCTGCACTAAATGTACTTTTACAGATATTTGCATGAATATGTTTCTCACAACTATACTTTGGGCTTGATTTTTGGATGAAGACCTTTTCACTTTTATTAATGTAAAAAATTGCATATGTTTAAATAAGAAATCCTAACTGCAATCCTGTCACGTTTTTCATGTTATGAAGATATTTTTGACTCAAGTTTTGCAAGAAATCGGTATAAGTGACGTGCATCATAATTTTCTAATTCTGTCCATTTTTCCAGCTGTTTGTTTAGCTAATATTTTAAGTAATACAGAAATTAAAATTCCCTACACAAAATGTAAAGATGTAAAATTATTTTAATTTCCCTTGCTTATTAATGCCTACAAAAATTGTTTATTGTGATTCAAGTGAGATTCGGAGTGCACATGGTGTTCATAAGAAAAATCATAATAACTCTTTGAACTTTAAAATTACCACCAAAAACTGTATTAATACAATTTTGTGTTTGAATGTGTACGTTTGCGTCTTTCATGTACTGTCTTTGAAAAGCAAATGAAAACCTCAGTCACCTAAACTAATTATAAGTCGCACTCGAATTAATAATAAAAGTTAAATGGCGTTCAAACACCAAAAAAGAAAAAAAATCTTTAAAAACATGAAATATCTTTCATATACTTAAAGAGACGGTTTGGATTTTTTTGAAGCGGAGTTCTGCGAAAAGGTGTTTTGTGGTTATCTTAGTTGCAGGAGATAACTCTTTCAGTGACCTCAGATTAAGCAAAGATATTGTCCATAATTTTCTGATGACCTAACAACTATTAAGAGGAGAGCGCAGATAAAAGTGGATTTGCTCCACTGTTGATCAAAAAAAATGTCATTTCATTCACACACTCTTAGAAACCTTTAAGCCACCGCGAGGGTTGCACTGATGAATATCTGCATATTGGTCTAAAGTTATTCACTATGACGATCGTATTAGCTTATGTCGTGTAACAACCGTTATAAAAGCGACGCGCTACAAAAAACTAAAATATGAGCTAAGTTCACGTGAATGCTTTTCATTGATTTTTACCTTTCCATTAGATTGTTATTCTGGTTAAAGTATGCACTGCAACTTTTTATTTCTTCAATTGTAACCGGAAGTGGAGCCCCAGATATGTTTTTATTAAGGGAGCCATACAAACTGGCACAGCTTAAAGGAGGTGTCTTCTGCAGGTAAAATACTAACTACTTCTAATGACTCCACCGTTTATCCAAATTAAATTAGTTTTAAATCTATTAACTGTATTTAACGTGAATATGTATAATTGTGTGTGTGTGTGTGTTTGTAGAGGGACTTATACTTAAATGCCCGAGGTTCAGACTAGGATGCATGTTTCTGAATTGCTGCTGAATTAAGGGGAATGCAAGAACAACTGTAGCTTGCATTTTTCTTAGCAAAGCCTACTGCTGAGTCCCACTCAGGAACTTATGACATGGGTTGGAACGATAACAGATATTCCACAGCAGTTTTGTTTATTGTGTTATAACAATTCCTCTAAGCTGTTTTGCTTAGTTTCTGATTTGGAAAGGTCTTTAATTGGGCCAAATTAAAAGACCCATCTAAAAAAACGGACATCCTTGCTTTAATGTAAATGAATATCGTGCCAACCCCAAAATCACTCACGTTTTTTTTTTTCTTTCTTTCCTGGGATAGATTACGTTCTGGGAATTAATTTTCTTTATTTGATTTAAAAAAAAAAATCAAGAGCCCTGCATCATTCACCTCACAAACAAAGGATGATCCACGAAGCTCTTACTGTATGCCCTCACAACTTGCACATTTTGCTGTGTCCCAATGACAAAGACCTGGACTGAATTCTTTACATCAGACTAACTTTCTTACATCAATTGGGCAAAGCATTACTGCAAAAAAAAAAAAAAACTTAATTTAAAATGTTCTTGTGTTCTATTCAAGGGCATGCAGATAAAATATAATTGCAGGAGTACTGCAGTTCTCCATTAAATAACTATTTTTAAACATAAAAATCAAACTTGGATAACAGGAACTTTGAACCAATTTGTCCTTCCATCATTTGAAAAAGTTACTTCATCTAAAATAGGGTTTGCATGAACTATCTCTGTTTTGTGACTCGAATTATTACAACTGTAGAAATTAACTTTGCTTTTTTTCCCCACTAGTCATGAGCTGGAAAGCTAATCTGTGTTTCATCACCATGGAGAGTCTATGAGTAGAGATCTACTGGATCAGAATTTTGTGGTCAAGCTCCAGTCTCTGATTTTACAATGCTTTGACCTGCCAATGCTTTTAGCCATTTCTCATTTGTTTTTAAGATTTATGATATCATTCAAAACACTCTTTTAGCCTTACACCTGTTAGTGATTTATATCATGTGTAAGAACGGAGTATGTAAAGCTGGATTTTACCATCCTATTATTACTAAAAGATCAAATGAATATTGCATTGATATTGTAAAGTTTCTTTAGCAACTTATGTTTCACTTAGCACGACTATCACAGCTAGCAAAAACTAAAACGGCAATCTTTGTGTGTTTCACAAGGTAGATCCTTACTTTAACTCGAACATTAATGAGATGCTGCCAACATTTCCATGTTCACCATTTTTTAAAAGTTTTGCCGTCTCGTTGCTTCGATGAGCCTCAGACATACAATGGCATCGAGTGACATAACACACTAAAAATGCAGCTTCTTTATGAGTAGCGTTCACATCTCTGGACATCATATGACTTCCATTATCAAACACCTCAGTGATACACAAAACTTTGAAGTTTTTCCCCTCAGTAACAGCATCCACTCTGAGGGTTGTTGTCAGCGTGACCTGGTAGCTCTTCCATAAAGCGACTCTTCCTTTTCCGGCATTTAACTTTCAAAACTTGCTTAATATTTTGATTTTTGCACATTGCAAGAGCGCCTCTTGAAAATTCCGAGCATTCCAACATTTAAAATCACTGAGGTTTTCAAAACTCCTGTTACCTGAGCCTGGTTTTAATGAAATGCAGTACTGGACAAAATGTATTTCTGACTGATCAGTCCAAATTCTTAGAATGTAGAGTCTCTGCTTATGTATTGGGACATGGCTAAGCTCCACTGTTTCTTAAGTAGGTTGGAGAAACAGTCGACATGTAACCTCCCGACCCTCCCCATGGCTGTGCCTGCTTGGTGTTAGTGTTTCTCTTGTCTCGCCCCTGTCTTCCTTCCAGGTTATGGGCTGGTGCAGGAGGAGCTTGTGTCCCCGGCCTCCATGCAGTACAGCTTGCCCTCTCCGTTGGGTGTGGAGCCATACTGGCAGGAGGTTTCCAGCCTGGAGTGTGCGCCCATTGCCACCACGGAGGAAGACACACTAATGGAGATGTCGGATGTTCAGGTGTGGCCAGCAGGGGTTAGCCCCTCGCTGGTCACAGTTGAGGACTCATCGCTAGATGGTAGCAGTCGAGCAGATGACTCTGAGGGCGCGACGCTTTCCTTGCCCTGCAGCTTGGGCCGTCCAAGCAGCGGAGCCAGTGGGGCCAGCGGTTCCATCATGGAGCTGGAGGAAGAGGAGGAGGAGGAGGAGGGGGGGGAAGTAGAAGAGGAGGAAGTGCCACAAGAGCCAGCGAGTGCACTGGCAGAACGGGACAGGGTGAGGGCCACTGGCGCTGTTCCCAAGGTCAATCTGAACGGGCAACCGGGAGGTCAGAGGTCAGACGCAAGGAGAGGGGACGGTGTGGTGGTGGTGGGAGGAGGAACTAAAGGAGGAGTTGGTGGTGTGGGGCTGGGCTCAGTGGAAGGGATTTCTCTTGTTGCAGGCCAGCAGGTGTATGCCCAGCTTGGTGAGATGACTGGGCTCAGGCCACCAGAACACAACGGGGACAACCGGTACGTCGTCTTTAAGGTGCACCGTCTCAACGCATTACGAGGTCATAGTTCCCCCTGCTGACATCGAGCTGTGCTTCATTCTTTGCAGGATGGTGGGAGGTGGAGCATTTCAGCCATACTTACCAGACAAGGACTCCCTGCAGGGCTGGGTGGGCTCGGCGTCATCCGGACATGGCGGAAGTGTGCCAGGCTTGCACACAGCCCAGGAAGCCTTACTGACTCCGGTGTGTGATACGGGTTACTCTCATGTGCTGCGTGGGCACTTCCTGAAGGGCACGCAGCCTTTTGACAAGGGGCTGGGCTTCTCCCATCAGGAGACGGGCCAGCAAGCTTGGGAGCAGGAGCAGAGGCGAGGCCAGGTCAGGTTGTAATGCCGACCACCCGCCGCTTCCTGCGCCTGGAGAGGGAAAACATCTTCATTTCGTTAACTTTTTTATTATTTTTTTTTTGAATACTCAAATTTATATCCAGCCATTTGCACAATCATCTGTACTTTTTAATCTTTTTAAACGACTCAACAATCATCAGGGCTGATGATTGGTCATTTTGATCAAATTAAAGACCCAGGCTAAAAGGATTGTTTCCAGACGAAAAAATTGTTTAACATTAATTTCTCAGATTAAAAAAAAGCCTCTTAAGCATTCTAAGTTGATAAAAATCATTATTTGATTGTATTTTATTATCTTTGTTCAGAAAGAAGAGAAGGCGGACTATTCTGCCGAGGCAAAATTTGTTGAGGAACGCGGAATTGTGCTCTCTAGAAAAGTAAGATGACTGTTTGTTTCACGTTTTCCATGAGTCACACATGAATTTTCAGCTTCATGTATGTCGTTATTTTCATTCCACACAGTAAAATCATTAAAGTAGCATATAGGACATTGGTCTGTTTTAAACAATTAAACAAATACAGCATTTGTTTTCAAGGGCTACAAATTAACTACTTTAGGTTTTACGTTGTCAGATAAATATACCGTAGCCAGTGGAAGGACAGGCTTAGTCTCTGAACTAAATACTTGCAGGTTTTTTAAAAATTCTGTCAGAAATATACAGGCAACTTTTTCATTACCCTCAGTGTGGATTTGTGTGCACAAAAACTTGTCAGCAGTACAGTTGTTCAGTTTAACTTCTGAGGTTTCCTAAACATTGCAGGACCTTGTTGAGTAGAAAAGTGTGATCAATGCTTGAGTAGCATTTTACCAACTGAGCAAAATGAATGAGAATGAGTTGTGAAGTGGATTAAATGTGATTGTGTAAGAGACTTATTTAAACTCACAGCACAGTAAAAGCATGGTGGATTTGCTCAAGGTTATCATGATACCAAAGTCTCACACTATCCATATACCTTCACACAAACGCTACACGTCTGAGCTCACACCTTGTCATTGAAGATCAGCTACACAAAGTGAAACACACAGAAGATCATACATAGAGGCCACAAGGATTTCGGTTCATGTTGGTTTAAGGAATTTTGTATAGTTAAAAGGATAAAAAAAATAACTATGACTCAGATCATTCAAAGAATGAGAAATTTGATATGAAACGAAACACAAAATGAGTTAATTTGGTGCCTGATTTGGTTAGCTGACTGCTAAAGCCCTTTGACACCCTGAACATGTGAGCCATAGTTAGTTTCCTACTCTGGTTTCAGCACTTAACTGGTCCAAGTGTTGTCTCCTTCCTTCCTCCTGCCCTCCTTGCTCCAGGTGGGGATGGATGTAAGAAAGGGTGCTCAGTCATTGCAGCGCACCAGTCTCCGGAGAGTTAAACACTGAAATACACATACTGCCCGGTCCTCCAGGTACGGGACAACAAAACAAGCACTTGTGCGTCCCAGTGCTTGGACAATAATCTGTGTGGTGACTGCTACCAAATCTGATAGAGCCTAATAGTTTCTTACACCAACTTTGTTTTTATTATTTTTTTTTCTTGTTCTTTTTTTTGTTGTTGTTGTTGCTCCAAGTTAGATTCCCTTTTTGTAATGCTTTTTGAATGAAAATGTTTGGTTGTTGTGTAAAATGCACAGTCTGCAATGATTTGACACTCATTTAAATTCTATACTTTCCTGTCTTTGAAATACAAAGACAGCAAGGTTTTCCTTTTTAATTTAAATATCAGTGGTTAAATTCTATGATTGCCACGAACACGCTTCAGAAATGACGGACTATTACTGTTCGAATCAACTTTAGAAAACAAAGTAGAGGGGAAAGGAAGTTGTTTTAAGCCTAAAAAACTTACTACAGTTGAAGCATAGAAGGAAAAGAAGCTAAGAAAGAAAATAAACAAAATGTGGCAACGAAGTAAGCTTAAATCTGAGTATGGAAAATTATGGCATTTGGAAATGGAAATATTGTGGGAAACCTACAAAAGACTTTGCTGTGTTTTATTTCGACTGCCTCCTGTGAACATATTGGCACTGGTGGCAGCCTACAAAGCAGTATCCGTGCTATGGTCAATATGTGGGTGGCACTACTACCACCTATTGTCAACTACAGTGGTATTTGTCAATGAATATATTCAGATTTTTTTCATTTTGAAATTCATTGCTGCCAATTTAGCATGTTTCTGTTTTCCATGTTTCAGTGTTTTCAAATCATGACATCCTGCTGTTAACAGCATTTTACACAGCTTCCCAGCCTTTTCTGAATACTTGTCATTGTCTACACTTTCATCATAAAGTTTTAGAAGGCCAAAATAATTTTGTATGCATATTAAATCTGTTTTTATATTTCTATTGTTTTTTGTTTTGTTTTTGTTTTTGTTTTTTTCAGGACCGGAAACCCACTGCCAAAACACCCACCACAAAAACACGACCAGAACGAAGATGGAAATGAAGAGTTAGAAGATGTGGGGAGGAAGTGGAGAAAACATACCAGGACAACCAGAAACATCCTCAACCTGTGATCATGAAGCACCACAAAACAAAAGAAGACGAGAACAAAAAGAGGAGTCGAACTTGTAGTTTTATAACATTTGTAAAGAAAAATATAACTAAACAGAGGCATGGTAATTCATTTTTATACAAAAAAAAACAAAAAAAAAAACTATAAATGTTCGTAAAACAACTAAGGAAAAAAAAAAAGCAACAAAGTGCTTCCTGTGAACTGTAATCGCATGATAACTGCTGGTGCATGCCCTTTGACCTTTTGAACTGTCATTATCTACAAACTGAAGGAGTAAAAAAACTGAAGGTACAGGGGCCGGCCCGTGCATGGGTCATAGGCCTTTTTAAAGGACCTCATGCCCACTAACTGGAGCCGTTTGTCAGCGAGTTGAGTCCGTTAACACTGCAGCCAAAAAAAAAAAAACGACAAAAAAAAAAAAAAAAAAAAACCCCCCCAAAGGACGGCTGTATATGCAGCAATGCCTCTGCTGAGCCAATGCTTCTGTCATCGGACCCTTTCTCCTCTTATTCTTAATGTGATATATGCACTCTATGCTCTGTGGACATGTGTGTGTGTGTGTGTGTGCGCGTTTAAATTGCTCTGCCGCATGTGTTAAATTGCTTTGAGCTCTGCGTGGAGCCTCGCCCGCCCCCTCCCCTGATTGGCTTGTTGTCTCTGTGACATCACGGCGTGCTCGACCTCTGCCAAGGGAAAGCCGCCGGCTCTTCCCCGCTTGTGAGTTCTCGTCTGCGTGTATCTATGTTTTTATTTAGATTTATCCTTAGACGAGCTCGCTTCCTCTTCGGTATCTGTCCGCTTCTGTTCTCCACTTTGTTTGACTTTGGTAGAAAACTGGATCTCTTTAATTCCCTCGTGTCTTCAGGGGTCTAAAGACATCGGAATGTTTTCCTTGGAAAACATTCCGATGCACAGCAGCTCTACGATAAATATCTTGACTTTTTCCTTCCTTACGAGCTTTTTCTGGTTTTTCTTGGTAGCATATCTCATTTTGAGCCATCTTTTATTGGTAGCCCTTGTTTATATGCAGTAAAAATCGCAGGTCTCCTCTATCCATTTTACTTCTATGCTCCATCCTTTTTTTTTTATGTTTGTGTCAGCTGTGGCATCTTGCTGTCAAATTTTTATTTATCCATTCAATACAAAAGACATAGAAGAAATACTGAAGAAGTTGACTTTTAAGACATTGCTTGGAAAAGTCCTGGCAAGTGTGAAAATTGCAGGTGACAAAACGTAAAGCGTGGACAGAGAGGTAGCACTGTGACTGTCCGGTTATCACTGACCCCAGACTCGTGAACTTTCTATATGTGGCTTGCAAAGGCATTTATTACTTTGTGAACATCTTTTCCTCTTAGAACAACAAACTTCAATGCCTTGTATTGAGTTTTTATGCAACGGTGAAACGGAAAGTATTGCATAGTTGTGAGGTAAAAGGATAAGCATATGTTGTTGTAAATGTTTTGTTACAAATCACAAAAGTATAGGATGCATTTTCAACAGCAACCCTACAATTACAGGGTTGCACACACATTTTTTTTTTTTAAGTTTTCTCATTTAAAGTCATACTTCTTCATTTAAAGCACCCCTTGTAGGCTTGTTGCTCTTTCCATCTACAAATGACAAAAACAGTGCTGCATGTGTCAGAAAACATCCCCAAAATATACCCTGAAGTTTGTGGTTGTCACATGACAAAATGTTAAGATGTTCTATATAAATATCTTTGCAAGCCTCAGTACATTCAGATGTAGAACGTGAAAAAGCACATAAACAAAATAAACATATGGTTGAAATGTCAGAATGTCAGACAGCTTTGCCACAGCAATAATACCTAACAAAAAGAAAAGATGGATTGATTGTCCAGCAATTATGATCTGTGGTGTATTTTTTTTTATATTGCTATTATCGTTATTCATTGTTTAAAGCACTAACGTAGAAAATCTAATTTCGCTGAAGTTGTTTTTAAAAAGTTTGATTGTTGAGATGGAGTCACCCAAAATCAGTTTTGCTTTCACTGAGTTATTAAGGCTATTAGTGTTTCACACATATTAAAAAAAAAAAAAAAAAAAAAAAAAAAAAAACCCCAACTTCAGAAAAACATTTATTCTTTAAAACATTTATAC